TGAAGTATCACTTAATATTTTAGTGATGTATCAAGTAATATCAAGTTGATATAATATGTCAACTTAATATTCTACATCCATTCTTTTCACTCTTTTGTACTATTCATTATACCTCCAAAGAAGTTTTCAATTCCTACAAACAATGACAAAGATCATTTTGAAATAAATGAATATGTCATGATTGTGAGCTAATTGGAAGACTAAAAAAATTTCTAAAAGTTGCACAATTTTAACATTACAAAGGTATGTAAAAAAAAAAACTACTAAGATTAGAGCCTTAATGCAGTTGGTTGTCTATGTGACCAAGGCATCAAAGAGCAAGTTCAACCTTTCAAAAGCCAACATGTTAGATTGATTGCATACTTTTAAAGAAAACTTTGTGGCTATATTTGATTGACCAATTTGTATTAGCACTAGTATTGGTCACAAAGTTACAAGATACTAGTCAACTCTTCAAAAAGATACATGCTTTGTAAAGTACGAGGCCAAATATGACACCTTTCTACAAGAGGGGTTCCACCATGGTAACAAATATAATATTGTTAATATTATTACAAGATTCCACAACAATATCGATGACCAATTTATTAAATTTATTGCCCAATTTGAATTTAATGCCTTAGAAATTACTACTTAAGACTATTTAAGAGCCTTTCTCCATGATGAATTTCATAAATCAAAAGAAGTATACAAGGAGGAGCACAGTTTCTTCCTTTCTTCTATTTCTCTCTGATCCTTGTCTATTTTACTAACATTGTCTTCTATAAGATGTCCATTGTTTAATAATATTGCTACGACCTCAAAAAAGATAAATTAGTTATTTGTTTTAAACTCCAAAAGGGAATTTTTAAAAGGATGTACGCACAAGGTTTAGTATTTGGTGTTTTTGAAGTATAAAGGCATCGTAAGTTAGCAGTGTGGTATAAAGTCAAAGATGGAAGAAAGTTGAGGCAAGTGACATGGTTTTTGATATTTTACCAATCTCTTTTTGATATTTTGATTTCTAAATCACTCACCTTGCAAGGTAGGTGATTTGGTGAAGTATGAAGGGATATTTTGAAATATCATAGGATACTTCAAGATCTCATCATGAGTGAAATGTCTCCCAAAAAGGCCAAGTTTGAACCCCCTTATTGTGCAATGTTGAAAGTCCCTTCAAAAGTCTTCCAAAATTTAAAAACATTTGTAGACACAAGGATGCTTGTACATAACTTCTTACAATATTTTTAAAAATTTTGTAACCTATAGTATGATCATTGTATACATATATGTTTATATATATATTATTATTATTATTATTATTATATATATTATTAATTATTTTTTTTCTTTTATCATGAGTTTTATTTTACAAAATATACTATTTTTTTATACCCTATTGTTTCTAATAATCTAATGCGCAACAGTTGCACAACTTGATTGAATTCCACATGTATAAATACACATACACAAGCATATGCAGTCAATGCATTGTGTGTTGTTTTAGATTCTGGATTTGTCTTCATATGTAAACAAAGAAACATTTTTGTACAAAGGCAGAATATTAAAACCCAAAAGGGCATCTCTGGTAAAATGATTTTGTTGTACAAACTTAAAAAGTATGTGATTATGACATATTCCAACTGGATGACGGTGCACCCTGGGTTTCATGTTCTGTTGTCTATGAGAACATAGAAAGCACAAACCACTGCTAAGCACCACAAAGTCTTCCAGCCATCACATCAAAGGCCCATGAATAAGAGCAAAGCTTGTTGAATCTCATGGCATGATGGGATTTTATTGGCTCCCTACTGTATTCATGAGCAGTTCATTATGATTTCTTTCACTATGACACAAGGCTTTGAAATATCAGCCCTAGCAGAATTTTATCTAGAAATTTGATAAGTTTACATAAAGAGGGCATTACAAGCAGAAGATTAATTGAAAGAGAATGTTGAATGAATGTTACAAACAAGGCGAGTATACTATGTATCAAATAATTGGAATATGTGTATACATATATAAATTAAGAAAATAAATTCTTCAAAGAATTTTTGGTATTTGTTTAGAAGTATTTTTTCCTAGAGCTATGCATTTGATGCTTTTTTAGCAATAATTTTAGAAAAAGGAATGCTTTTTTATGGCAACATTCCTTTTTCAAAATTAGAATGTGAAAAAGGAATGTTGGTAGAAGTCTATTTCATGGTAATAAAATTAGACTACATAAATATTTTTTGAAGAAATACTTTTCTGATTTATGTTTAATTCTTTATATGATATCTACTATTTTAATACAATTAAACTGTAAGATATTATGTATTATAGTTAAAAATAGAAATTTGACTAAGTACAAAAAAATAAAATAGGTTCCTTTCAAGTATCTATAAAAATATTCGAAACACATATTATTTTTACAGAAACTTGATAGGAACCTATTTTATTTTTTATAGATACTTGATAGGAACCAAAAGCCATGAATGAGTAGCTATAAACAAAGAAAAATAAAATAAAAAAGTGTATATATATATATATATATATATGGGAATGTTAAATAAATCAAGGATTTTACTAAATTTATCCACCACCCTAATCATCATGAAAAAAATGACCTCTAGATTCATTTTTCTACTATTGGATCCAAAACCAATGAAAACCAACTACATTCATCATAAATATCATATTCTTCATCATGGATAGATCAATTCAGTAAAAAAAAACTAGGTCTATTTAACATTTTCCTTTATATATATATATATATATATATATATATATTAAAAAAAAATTAAAAATGAGATACAAATCCCTTATTTTGTTTTGTTTTGTTTTGTTTTTTTTTTTTGAGTTTTTGACTCGGAACATGACTTTGGACTTTGAACCTTGAATTGTTCCAATAAGAAAGAAAAATTCATGATATATCTTCATCCTCCTTTCTAAGAAAATTGAATTTTTGAATAAATCTGCATGTACAAATCTTAACACAATTGTGGGATTTTTTGAAGTTTTTCATCCATTCCTTTCTCCTACTGTATTACTTACTATTACTTAATTTGAAAAGAATGATGGTGAAAGTTTTATAACTCAGAATAAAACAATAAAATATAAAAATAAAATAAAATAGAAACATACTTTATGTTACATAGCATGACACCAAGAGCTGCTAGTATAAGAACCAATTCAGCTTAGCATCCAACACAACATCCAATACAGACTAAATAAATCCATGAATAATCAGCTGTAGCAAGCCAAGTAGGCATAGGGTATCCATGAAGTAAGATATTAGAAACTACGAGACCAAGCAATGTTATATAAAAGGAAAATTACTATTCTGTTATATATTTCACAGTGCCCAAGTCTGTTTTGATTTGTGGTGTCAGTGGCCTTACTCTGCTTGCTTTCCTGGCTTGGGCTGCAGTGCTGCAAACGCAAGTTTCAGTGCACAGCGGTGGTTGCTCCGAGGAGACGTCTTGAAGCACGGGGACAGGCTCTTTCATAGGCTGGGGTGCTTCTGGCTTGAGGATGAGCACAGCTTTTCCTGGCACATCAACATCAACATCTGGAAGCAGCTGCTGCTCACGGATCCCATTTGTGGCTGTGTTGGAGCCTCCTTAGTAGATACGTTGTCGACAGCATCTCATTCGAAATAATAGAGAAAAACAAACAAAAATAGAATTAATAAATGAGGAAATGAAAAACTGCATCCCCATGTGGATGCCTTTCTCTCAGGACCCTGCGAGTTTTCAGACCCGACAGGGCCAGTTTGCAAGGTGCGATCAGCAGTCTTCGAATGCAAACCCTCAGAAACCGTGGAGCCCAGCTTTTCTGACAGCCATGGCGTGGCATAGAGGTGATCAGGATCACGTCTGGTCAACACCCGTTTTTGTGAGCATATTTGTTTCTAGGAGTTATCTACCCCAACTCTTTTTTGTACGCCACCACCTATGGGCCTCTCGCATAGGAAGCTCTATCCTACACGGCCCTGTGAACACGCACACACATACACTGTTCAAGCTTTTCTTGGTTTGAACAGTTTGGTCACCGAAAAGCGCTGAACAGACAACTGGACTTGTTCCGTCTCCACTTGCGCACCCTGCCGAAGCGCTTCACTACAGTTCGGAATAGATATACTGGAAACTTGAAACAATTCGGAAGGTTGTAATGAACGTTGGGGTGTGATGCTCATCGTGGAGATCTTATCGAAACAGTTTGAGCGGATGGTTCTGAACTCCTTCCTACAATGCAAAGGCGGTGAGCTCATTGCGAGGAATTCTGAACTGAAACGTGAATATTTCTCTAAATGGTAATGTTGGGGAGCTTATTTTGTATCAAAGGAGATACTGCAACCATACACTTGGCTGAAATTGGGAGGGGACTTCTTTGACAAAGCCCTAACACAAGTTGATCAAATTTTTTGTCCACGCAAATTACTAGATTATCGGTTTGATATGAAATTTTCTTCTCTTTCTGGGGAAGAGGGAGAGCAGAAGTTCTGAACTGACCTGCACAATCATACTGAATGAAATTATGTGGTTGACAATTTTCTACGAATTTCATTATTGAGATGTGAGGTGAGATCGAAGGGAGACAGTAAACAGATTGCGCTTTTGATCCCACCAGAACATCGATTGGTGGCTTTGTAAGTAATTGCAGTTGGCCACTGTGACATGCATTAGTTGTCAGCCATGCACAAAGCAAGTGATGGAGCAAATTCTGCAGGTAAGGTTGCAATTCTGTGGCTTGGGTAACTCCTCTCGACATCAACTAAACTAGTATTCATGGGCTACAAGCTCTGATTCATCTTACCTTTGTGGTGTAATACCAAAAGAAGAGGAATTTGCATGTTGCAACTAATTTAGAACTTCAAACGCTTGGAAATCAATAACACATTGTGGTGTGAACATGAAGGCCCTTCATGCCACCGAATTTGTTCGACAATTCTTTCAAAAAACCGTGTTCATGTTTTTTAAGAAACAGAAAAGTGAAAGCTCAAGGATTGGAACCTGAGCAAGCCAGAGCACAAGATGTGGACCATGAAGTATAAACCGATTTATTTCTTCACAGAAATCTATCAATACAAGAGTCGACGTACGATCCCTCACACTAGAGCATTGTATCCAACGTCGACAGCCAAACAGAGGCAACACCAGCTGCAACTTATATGGTTTACCAATATTTGAGCTACTACCAAAAGCCAGATACGAGCAACAACCACCGACGAAAGCTGCTGTTCAGCTACACAATTGTGCCGGAACTCGGACTAAACCGCTACAATGGCACTCAGATACAGACGGAAAAGCTGAAAAATACCAAGATTAACCATCTTTACAAGGGAGTACAAACTGCTTTTTAAAATCTGATTTCTGTTTACAAGAGAACGTCAGGATTACATGCCCTACGTACATACTCTCTAAGAAAGGAAAAAAATAGAAAAAAAGAAGAAAAGAAATCAATAATTATAAAAGAAAAAAGAAAAAAGAAAACAAAGCAAAACTGCAGGAGTCCCGCCGGCAGCCAAGATGAATTGTTGAGAGCTCGGTCACTCGGTGTCGATCGACTTTCACGTACATAAGTTAGCATACCACAAAAAAAAAACAATCGACTGAGGATGGAATGCTGAAGAACAAGATAAAAGGTTGATTATTCCAAAATGCAAGTCACCAAGGCTGGTTCATGGAGATGCAGATTGTCACGTTTAGATGTGACTTGGGGCACTGCGGAAGGAGCCCAGAGACTTGAAAGGACCAGCTCTAAGCACATATTGGTGGTAAGCGGCGGCCAAAGCAGCTCCCAGGAATGGACCCACCCAATAGATCCACTGCACAATGTTCAACAATCCACATTACCAATCAGTCAGTTCACCACACCGTCTCCGGTAATCGACAGAAGCCACAGAGACTTAGTCAAAAGTTTCTAAAACAGGGTGTTCGTTAGTGATGGCAAGCACATGTTCGTTGGTCCTACAGCTTTTGCTCATGACAGCAGCACGACGATAACTGGTCAACTTACGTGGTCATTCCAAGGCTTGCTGCGGTTGTAGATGACAGCGGCGCCAAAGCTTCTTGCTGGGTTGATTCCAGTTCCGGTAATGGGAATAGTTGCCAAATGAACCATGAACACCGCAAATCCTATGGGAAGAGGAGCCAACACCTGCGGAGCAAAGAATCCCACTCAGTGTGACATTTGACCAGCGCTAAAACACACACACTCACACACAAAACGCAGGCTTCCTCACACATGTGGTCCACACAAGGATTGTACGAGCTGATTGCGATCAGGCAGGTCCCAAATTTTACCCACAAGGTCGCTTTGGGAATTAACGCATGTTGCTAGCGTCTATCACTTGAGACACCGTCGTCGGTGTTCACAGATCCCCATGCTTAACACCTAGAACAATCGCTGGTCTAGTGCATTGAAGTCTTACCGGCACATGAGAATCACGAGCATTGCGCTTGGGGTCTGTGGCAGAGAAGACGGTGTACACTAGAACAAACGTTCCGATGATCTCGGCGGCTAGTCCTGTGCCGATGCTGTACCCTGCGGCCACAGAGTTTGCGCCTCCACCATACCTCATGTAGAAAGCAGTCTGAAATCCCTTCACTAGACCGGCACCGCAGATAGCTCCTAAGCACTGCGCGATCATGTAGGCAAGCGCTCGGGGCAGCGAGATTTTGCGTGCCAACAGCAAGCCGAACGTAACAGCTGGATTAATATGACCTCCTGTCAAATTCCAGAGAAAAGTTCATAAAATTTTAGTAAGCGTCAGCAAGAGCATGAAATCACTCAACAAGTTCCCTGAATGTTTTCCCTTCACTATAATTGTTTTCTGAAATTTAATGAAGACCACGTAGCAGCCAAATTAGCTCGGAGAGCAATTGTAATCTACTCTGGAGGGTTCACCACTGGGATTCAATCTGTGGTCCTCTGCTAGTCTTCCAAAGAGCTCATCGACGACTTTGAGCTTGTAATGATCAGCCCTCGTGTACCTGAGATACCGGCGGTGCAGTACACCAGCACGAAAATCATGCCTCCAAAAGCCCATGCGATGCCAAGAAGTCCCACCCCATCACAGCCAGCATTTCGGACTGCGCCTATCACGGTGGCAATGGTAATGTACAGGAAGAGAAGAGTGGCTACAAACTCAGCGATGACTGCTCGGTAGAAGGACCATTGCCCAAACTCGGATGCGTCAATGAGAGGCGCAGGAGGTGGGTCTGTGTAGTCCTTGGAGGGGAACCCAGGCTCCACGCCCACGTCTTTTGCCATGGTTTGCTCCCGAAATCCGAGCACTCAACAAGCCCTTCCTCCCCCTCTCACTTCTAGTGCCGCTCCACAGCCTGCTCCGCAATAGAAACTCGATCAGTGTTAGCCTCTGTGGACAGAAATGGTTGCCACGCACAATTGAGACTGCAACGACATCTTTAAGCTCAGAAATGATATAGAGAAGACTGTTTGGCTACTGGCGATCTGATACCAGCACTGTGGATCTTAAAGAATGGGCGATGCTGCGGAAGTTAATGCGCTAACTGACACAACCCGGCTGCCAGACAGACTCTAAGTGCAGGTGATGAGCACAAACATATATAGGACGACAGTCGTCCCTCTGCTCCCCTTGGAAGCATCTTGCTTTCGCCATATTTTATTCCAGATTAATCCCCCAATTTCAGCTACATTTAATTTCGCTCTTGTTCGGACAGGAATCTTCCGATCTATTGCTTGCACTTTCTTTCACTGAAATTTTAATGACTATCCCTTCTCTATCTCTTCTTTTTCCTCAGTAATTTATTTACTTTTTTCCTCTTTATTTCTTTTCCAACCGGGTAGCCTACGCGGTGCTATTTGGAGGTACTTCCGACGACGCAGCTGAGTCTAACTGAAGTTCTATCCTGCGCTGACTTTACTAACCTTGCGTAGAGCATTTTTTCCTGTTACCCAGGCTGTCAATGAGTTTCATACAAATCGGACTGTTACTCTGTATGTTAAGGTTTTGTTAATTGGGCATACAGTCACACTGACTGTGTTAGAGGTGCTATTGTTCCAGAAACAGTGTTCGCATCATCTTGAAGCTGACTCCCTGGCTGTTCGGAAAGTATCGAAGACTGCACCCATTAAAATCCTTGGGGTAAAGCAATGCTGCCCTGTGTAGATAGTCCAACATCCCATGATAGACTTCAACCTAGTCACAAGAATGAGCATGCACAGGGTGCGTACTCAGCGTGGTGCACTTTTCGACAGACGCAGAGCGTACGTGCAATGTCTCTGGACTTAGTTTCATGTCGAGATTCAAAGCATCATCACTAACCCTGGTAGAACGAAGCCAATCAAATGAGATAATTATAACTTCTGACCATGTTTTAACCTTAAACAATTTCTGATCCCAACCCCCCATGTACACACAATCTAGATTCAAGTAGTCTCATGTCGTATCAGATTAACTCACTATGCATGACAATCAACTACTAGAAGAAATACTGATAATGATAAATATTACTGTGAAATTGCGATGTTCTTTCTTCTGTGCTGCTTAGGAAGCATTTTCACAAAGTGTAACTCCAGCCATTGTGTCGATTGCAGACTTGTCGTGCCCACTAGTACTTACTGTCACGTTAAACAATTTATTACACTTCCAAATCAATATTAAATTCTCATGAGCGCATATCCGAAGCTTTGTTTTGTAGTTGCGAAGAGAATCATCTGCCTTGGAAACCAATTTCTATCCAAATGTCAATGGCATTACAAAGTTGCCAGTGACCACAAGCGACGTGTCTACTCATTGATTATTTAATTACGCATGATTATAAAATCTGAAATTTCTTTGAGATGCTACGAATAGGTTTACTGTGCCGTGGCCCAAGCTGATTCTTGCCTCCACGAGATTCTCGAATTTTATAAACGGCACTCTAGTGCATAATCAGAGTGTGGGTGTTAACCCATGTTGCTTACTTGAGTGACGTGTGTAATGTACGAATTCGATTTGGTTGGCTAGAATCTTCCGATCAAACCTTGAGTTTCAAGCCAAGGTGATCTTAGACAATTGCTGCCACTGTATCAACTCTCATGGCCGGTCATATTGTCGCATCTCAGAACTCTTTCTTCCTTTTCACAGTGATTTGGTGGCCCAGTTTTGTTTTTTCACAGCAATATGTTACTCTCAAACATAATGCTATATACAGGGGGCTAAAGGTGAGCAGTAATTTTCAAGAGGACCACCTAGTCCCCTTTCAAGCCAGCAAGCGTGGGCTGTTTTGGACGGTGTTACTATCAATTCAAGTACACCAGATTACACACCTCAGTAGCACGCAGTTAACCGCTACTAGCATTCACTGTACTTGTAATTCCTTAGACCTGGACAGGACCCAGTGTCGGACTATTCACCTCACAGTGAAAGTAGAACAAACTGCCAATTAAAATGATTTCCGAATTAATAGAACATTAAATACAGTCCGAGCCAGTTCCTTGTGCTGGTGTGGTATATTAATCGATCGCAATAAAGAAAAAAAAGTGAAGATGTAAATCAGAGCTACATAATCTCGCTGCAGAAAAAATACAGAATCCAAATTGGAACATTGATCTCTTTTCTGACATGTTACAGTGTTCCATTTGAGACATTCTAATCACAGAAACCCCAAATGCTCATACCGAGGCTACATTGGCAAGTCTCATGAACTGGAATTGGAGATCGGCTTTGTCTACAGGTTTGGACTTGAACACGGATCAATCTTGTAGCTCAATGTTTTGCTGCCGATGGAGCAGAAACTGGCGAGATAGATTCTCGTCACGCCGAAAGTGGATGGGTCTGCAGGAGCCTGGACCTGTCATGAACCGGAAAGGTGAAGTGGCAGAGGCAGCAACGGATGTGGGCTGGATTGGTGGGGCCTTGACAGAAACCCCAAAATGGCTTGCAAGAAATAGCATTCCATACCTTCGTAGAGGCGTTGCAGGTTTTTACATTAGGACGGCTGCAGTTAGTCGGTCGGGGACTCGAGCCTTTACGCCTGACAACAAGGGCCATGTTGGTTGGGCCATGGTCAGATGGCTCAATTTTCTTTATCTCTTTGCTGCACACTCTCCACAGTCTTTGCTCGTACTGCAGTGATTCCGGGTACATGAAGTAGAGCGAAAGGAAAGCACATTTTGATCTCCACGTGTATTTTATATTCTGTCCTTACGGACGGTGATAGTTGTTTGTTTCGAATTCGTTCTTGTTATAACCCTGGCCGGCTGGTCAGCACTGGCCGGCGTCGTCGTCGTCACCAGCCCTTGGCCCACCACATTTGATGAGCCGATGGGTCAGGTTACATGCAAGATCAGCCTCGAAGTTACACCTGCGTTTCTCGCAGCTCTAGCAAACAATTCGGTCTCCAGTTGTGCAGACCACTTGAGAGCACCATCGATAGCCTGCAGAATCGAACTTAATAAAAATGTTGGGAGGTTGCTGCGCTTGAGAATTCGTGGATATCGTGCTTGTGGTCATTTGGTTATCTAGCTAGTGGAGTATCATATTTATGATTATTTGACAAGATGAGGGCTCCCGAAACTTGCTGATTTTGATAATGTAACGAAAAATGAGAGCTTCGATGCCATGCTTGTGGCGGCAGAGACACGTAAGTGTGTGTTTATTGTTCTTTGTCTTTTCCTTGAATCCCATAACATCTGGACTTCTTCAAATCTACAAAGGAGTTGAAAGCAATGTCTTCTCCTTGATTGTTTTGGAACCCCCAAAGTCCCAATATACCGATATTTTCCATTATGACCTTTCTTCACAACACTACTTCGGAGCAGAACCCGTGTGGGTCTACTAAGAAACTAGACAAAAGTTCTTCTCATGACCTAAAAGAAAACACAACCAACATGCACTCATCTGGGCCTTCTGGCAATCTTACCAACGCACAGGAAGACACTTTTAAGTAGATTCCAGTTTCAATGTCAGTTTCCTTCCTCGTTTCTTTTATATTCTTTCGTCTGCCCGTGCTCTTTTACTGCACATGAAACTAACTTTCACGGAACAGCTCACGGTAAGGGGAAAAAAAGAAAAAAAGAAAAAATCCCCAATTCTACATCATCACCCGGAAAACAGCAACATGGTGCAGGCTGTGTTGCAGGGACAAAGCTGCAGTAGTGGGGGAGTCTTTCCAGGTCACGGTGGCAGCAGACTAGAAGGAGAGCCACGCAGCCAGCAGCGAGGATGAGAGTTCCGCAATCCATGGAAAACACCTCCAACAGCATCTCTCGTACAGTTTTACCAAGTCCTTGCCACCGGGGACTCACTCACACTCTTACACACACAGCTTCACATACATAGATTGGAAAGTTACACTCTAAAGCTTCGCCATTGACCTTTTCACGTGCTGCATCATCATCAGTTACCTCATCCACCCTCTCACACTCCCTGGAATTTTCCTTATATCTGTATTATAAGCACTCACACAAACAAACACTCACACAGAGTGCACACACACACACACAGACACCCACATTACTGTCAGTTCGTAACTCACACAACGCTTCGTCAATGTCAGTATCCACTGTAGTGATGGTTAGTTCACTCACTGTGAGGCTTCTTAATCCATGGCTGATCACGCTAATCTAAATTGCTGCCACAGGAGGAGACATGTGACCAGTTTCAAAATCTAAATTTCTCATATACTACGCTGTTGAAATACGTGCATTGAATAGTTTGTTGGAGAGAAACATTTCCGTTTTTGTAACATCAAGTCAAATCGAAGTTTGATTATTGTTTTTTTATACATATCCTTTTGACTTTCAAACATGCTGAGAACATGCAACCACGAATATTTTCATTCATATTATCTTATTTGCATTTTATAACTTTTGGTTGATTTATTAATACATTTTTATCTTATTTGGAGGTAAGCAAGGTACATAAATCATTTGAGCAAAAAGAGAGAATATCCTGGGTGTCAGAGAGGATGGGGTGATGGGCCATAGGAGGCTTGCCTGGCCTAGTCTAGCCCAAGCTTAGCTAAGCTTCTAGTGAATGGTGGAGATGCCCAGAGGGCCAACGTGCGGGCCACATGCCTCATCTGTCAAAGCAATGACCGGACCAAGGGACGGATGAATGTGGAAGAGGGATGGATGAGGGATGAAATAGGGTTTAGAATAGTGGTTATAGTGCTTCCTTTAAGTAATAGTAGTCCTCCTAGCCCTAGAAATTGCTAAGGAGAGAAAGGTGGGGAGGTGGGAGAAGACGTGTCGCAACTCCCTTCATCATCTTCTTCTTTGTCTTCTTTTTTATCTCTCATAGTGATGACTTCCATGGTGGCACACACATCCAAGGCTAATGCCAAATGCAAATACTCCCCTTTTTTCCCACTTTGGAAAAAGAATTGCAAAGCAAAAGCTAAAAACAAACTACATTCTCAAAAGATGGTACCCACTTTTTCTTTTTCTCAAAACCTCCCACATTCTACAATAGCACACTTTCTATTTCCTATCATTTCAATCAAACTTATATTACAACGACTTGGCATTGCTTATTTATTCATACGTGCTTACTTTTTAGGTATATTGACATTTAGTGATGTTTTATTTCTTTTCTAATTTTATGTAAACATTTCGACTCTAAAGTTTAGTTTGGTAGAACTAAAAACATAAAACTTAAATAACATAAT